AGAATTTCTGGCTTGAAGCTAACAATACTTATGCCTCCCCCCGTAGTAGAATGCCCTAAGGTCGGGGCCTAAGAGGATGCAGGTCGGTGGCTATTCTTCAAAACCTCCGTGTCTACCGTCAGTGGCGCTGTCCTTTTGGCAGAGTGGTTGATGTGTCCCTTTTCTGACAGCGCCGATGCTACAGGAGATTCTGCCTCGCCTGATCCCCCTATTTGTCTTGAATTAAATGTCTACTATTGTACTCCATTACTGCTGAATTAGGAACTCTGATCTGTGCGCTAGATTGTCTTTGAATTGTCTCAAATCGGCTAGGGCGGCCTCTTGTTGGTTGGTGTAGTCAGTAAGGGGTATATCAATTAAATGTGGTTTGAAACCTATCGGCGCTGTCCTTTTAGCGGAGTAGTTGATGTGTCCCTTTTCTTCTACCACATTTTGTCGGTCAAAACATAAGAAATTTTGCCTCAGTGTTAGGGATGCGAAGAGGTGCAGATACATGAGATGGTTATGGACCTTACGAGGAGAATTTCTCACATTTTGACTGACAAAATGTGGTCCAAGCGCCATAGACACAGAGGTTTTAAAGAATAGTCACCGACCTATACCCTAGGGGCCTGAGGCTACCCCAGTGCCCGTTGCATGTTAAGAGAGCTTATACGAAGGTTGTGCATCAATAGTAAGTTACTACAGCTACAGGCCTAAATAATATAACCCCCCCCTGGTGAAAACGCTAGTATCCGTACAAAATAACTATGCAGAAATAAGTATAGACGTCAGCAAAATCACTCAATTAGGACTAGCTTCTAAAATCGAGTTTGCATTCTATTAGCATCTATAACTGCTTAACATCTCTCTCTTATTAATCCAAGCAGCTTAGCAAGATACTTAGAAGGCACTACATCCCATGCAGCATTAATAGCTGCACGTAGCTTATTGTACTTGCGTAAAGTATCTTTATAGCGCTCTTGTATCTAATCCTTCATCTAATTTTATATCATCTTAATTAGATTCAAATCAGGCGAATATGCAGGCTATTATACACATTCTATGCCACGTTAACGAAGATCTCAAATAGTGCCTCTAGCAGTATAAGCAGAAGTAGAATCTTGCATAAATATTAAATCTCTTCTGTTTGTTTAAATCTAATTATTAATAACAGGGATGATGTGCTCTTAGTATAATGCTTCTTTAATATTCTTTTATTTTTTTCTCTAAAGATATTAAGACCTTTTATATTGTCATAGGGTAGAACCTATAGAGACCTAGTGTTACGACACGGATTGCCCTATGGCCCAAAGGGGCATTAGGGCTGAGGGCTAGGGCAGACTTGGCGCCCTGCGCGTCATATCTCTATCCTCGCCTCCATAGCACTTAGATAGTCAGCCATCACCATACCATTCGACATCAGTCATACAGTTGCCCTCCATAGCTTCTTCGTGACTCTCCGCTATCTCTATAGCACCCCCATACCCTGTTGCACGGCCTTCCGCGTAACACCTAGGCTACAGCCTCAGGTTAACATGTGATGCCTTGGTGCAGAGGAAGGATAAGGGCACAGCTCAGGAGGAAGGATAGGGGCACGGCTCAGGAGGAAGGATAGGGGCACGGCTCAGGAGGAAGGATAGGGGCACAGCTCAGGAGGAAAGATAAAGGCATAGAGACAGATACAAATAACGCGTACTTCCCCCTTGTATTATAGAACTCCTAAGTTTCGTCTCCTTGTCTATAGGTAGCTAATCGAGAGCTTTTGCCTTCATTCGCGATCCCTCACATATATTACTATAAAAATAATCTTAAAATATTTAATCTTTATATTATTAATATTATTTAATAATATATATAGGATCCTACTTCTTATTAAGTTAATATATAATATATATCTTTATATATTAATCCTTATT